ATCTTCTTGAAAGATGTAAGCGGGTTTTCAAATTGATGAGTCCTATCCACAAATTGCAGATTACTCTTTTCCCCCAGAAAACATGGGCTACAGAAGCGAGTTCGAGCAAAATTCTGGCATATTCAGGGAGAGTAGGAATGGACAATGCGACAGGTTTTTCCCTACCTTAGATACCATTTCTGCCCTAAAAATAATTCAGGTTTCAACCGTCCAATTAAACGAAATCGAAGGTCCTGGAGCCAAGTCCATTTGGGCTACCGACGAGAACCAAGAACTGCAGATAACGTTACTCACAATAATTAATGAAATTATGCAAAGTCAAGATGCCCCTTTACTTCTTCCTCTAAAACTGAACAAGTAATGAAAGTCTCGAAGTCTACTTATGAGTAATGACGTCAAATGCAATTGCTAATACGTGTCTGTCTAATCTTTACAATATCAATCGCCTACAGTCCCACATCAACTTGAACGAAAGAGAATGAATACAGCTCTTCATGTGGTATCGAGAATCTACATAAAATTAAAACCAACAAAGTGGTGTTTAGAGCCTTGTCAACTCGGCCAAACACAAAAGTCTATGAACAAAATCTTTCCTCATGAGTTTGCAGAAAAAAATCCCCTTAAAATGGGTTGAATCTGGCGTGTCTTTTATTTTGGCTAAAAAGGCGGTTAAAAGGGATGCGAAAATCTGCCTCATCACCGAAAACTGTAGAAAGATGATCTCTGACTTGTGACTGGGGGTTGTGCGAAGAAGGCCCCAGCTCATCTTCTTCAGTCCGGATCTATTCGTCCTGTCTCAATAAATTATTAAGGGATTCTTTAGAGCCAGCTTTCCCTCATATATTGTTAAATCTGTTGATTTTGCTGGTTTCTATAATTGTACGCTTAGCTGCAGACATACAATAATCAGCAAAAGGACAATTTCGAAAGTATTTTATCTCATCTCAAGGTTCTGCTGCGTGTTTCGCACTTTCGTGCTCATAGAGGCTGAGCAATAGCTCTGGAATAGCTTCCTAAAAGGGTATTTTGATATAAAATGATATTGTATCAAGCTTGCGAAAACCGTCATCCTCGCTAGTAATCTGCGGATCTACCAATTAAAAAAATCATACAAACACTTTACCGAATATTTTCATCAACAAGCACAAGAATCACAAAACCTATGCATCAAATCCTGCAATTATTAAGAAACAATCGCAAAGGTATTTCCTCTTTATGTATCTTTGGAATATCATGAGTTGAGAGAGTTCTAGCGTCTCTTTGAAGAAGAACATTCACCTTTTCCGTAGTTTAAACACTCTTTAAATTCTTGCTTAAGCCTAAAGTTAAGAATTTCAGTATGATCATTTGCTGAAAGTTGGTGTTTTTCAGTGTCATCTAAAGGGGTCATGATCTTTACTTTATAACCTTAATAAAAATGTCGATCACTCTGCTAATGTCATTTGATTTCCAAGCAAAAAGATTAATCAAAATAACTAAACTAGGAATGGAAACGGGCTGAAATCTAACTTAAATCTTATGCCCAACTTTGGGAGCTTGATAAGGCATCCCATAATTTAGTTGACTACCTAATGCCTGCCTTGGATATATATAGACGAGTGAAATTTTTGCATGAAAAGAAGATCAAAATCAGTAGCATCTGTTAACCTAGGCCAATAAATTAACAAACAATCTTGCCAGTCTGGCGCTTGCTTTAGGCTTGCAGATGCATGTTGTGCAAAACTTCTACTCATGAGTAGACTAAGAAATCTGATCTGGTAAAGATGCTATTACAGACTAAACTCCCGCTCTTGGTCTCTGCAGAGTTCAAGCTTCAAATTACCTACTCATGAGTAGACTGACCAATATGATTGGTAAAGATGCTATTACAGGGTAGACTCGACTCTTGGTCTCTGCTAAGATCAAGCTTCAAATTATCTACTCATGAGTAGACTGACCAATCGGATCTGGTAAAGATGCTATTACAGGCTAGACTCCCGCTCTTGTTCACTGCTAAGGTCAAGCTTCAAATAATCTACTCATGAGTAGACTGACAAATAACGATCTGGTAAAGATGCTATTACAGGGTAGACTCGACTCTTGTTCTCTGCTAAGGTCAAGCTTCATATTATCTACTCATGAGTAGACTGACAAATCTAATCTGATAAAGATGCTATTACAGGGTAAACTCGAAACTTAGTCTCTGCAGACATCAAGATTCAAATTATTTACTCATGAGTAGACTGACCAATCGGATCTGGTAAAGATGCTATTACATGTTAGACTCCCGATCTTGGTCTGTGCTGAGGTCAAGCTTCAAATAATCTACTCATGAGTAGACTGACCAATCTGATCTGGTAAAGATGCTATTACAGGGTAGACTCGACTCTTGTTCTCTGCTCAGGTCAAGCTTCAAATTATCTACTCATGAGTAGAGTGAAAAAATGGATCTGGTAAAGATGCTATTACAGGGTAGACTCGACTCTTAGTCTCTGCAGACATCAAGATTCAAATTATCTACTCATGAGTAGACTGACCAATCCGATCTGGTAAAGATTCTATTACAGGCCAGACTCCCGCTCTTGGTCTCTGCTGAGGTCAAGCTTTAAATTATCTACTTATGAGTAGACTGACAAATCGGATCTGGTTAAGATGCTATTACAGGGTAGACTATCGATTCTTGGTCTTTGCTGTGGTGAAGCTTTAAATTATCTACTCATGAGTAGACTGACAAATCTGATCTGGTAAAGATGCTATTACAATGTAGACTCCCGATTCTTTGTCTCTGCAGAGGTCAAGCTTCAAACTATCTACTCATGAGTAGACTGACTAATCTGATCTGGTAAAGATGCTATTACAGGCTTGACTCCCGCTCTTGATCTCTGCTGTGGTCAAGCTTCAAATTATCTTCTTCCCATTTTTCATACAGAATGACATCTCAAAGTTGCACTAAAAGCGGCCTTTCAACATTACATTCTGGGAATGGCTTGAGACCTTGGCCCATTTGGCGACAGAAAACCCGGGCTCCCTGCTTTAATCGTGGCCTACCAGAAAGTGGAATACGTGCGGCCTGACGAGCCCATCGGTTTAAGGATGCTCCGAGAGCCACTCAACTAAGACACACAATCCCATTCCTTGTCTTCTACTAGATTCAAGCATCAAATGCACTCCTTCCAATTTTCCATACCAAGCGACATATCCAAATTGTATTAAATTCAGCAAACGATTCCTCTCAAAGCCGGATCTTTAGCATCAAAGTGTTGTTTGAAACAAATTGCATCCAAACTCGGTGTTCTGGAAGAGGCATGCAAGCTCAGCAGACTTGACAACACAGAACTCGAGCTCCATGCTTTCACCATGAAAACCAGGACTCCTGACATACTGTAGCCAAAAGAGGGGATGTGTCAGTGGTACCCCCGGACCTGCAGTCAAACTTTCGCTAAAGTGTGAATCCCAAAAGCTTTATAGTGAGTTTTCTGGCCAATACGACCGAGTGAAAGATGCAATGAAGCGAGAACTTACTCATTTTATTCGCTTCCCTCCTGGCCGCGGTTGAATGCGTCGATCTGAGACTGGCATGTCTCGAGTCCTCCTTCACCACCTCATCTCTGCCCGACTGCGTCTCCACCACAGTCAGGCTCTTTTTCACTCCGTCACCCCACCACAACTGGCTCTCTCCACGTCGGTAAGACGGCGGTTGTCGTGGTTGCTGTCGTGGTTGCTGTCGTCGTTGAGGCTCCTCGTCGGCCCAGACAACGGGACTTCTGGGAGCGGTTGTGTCGAGCATCGGACGAAGCTCGGCATTGCCCTCCGAATCGGCCCTGGCTCGAGGCCCGAGTCTGCCGAAGGAGCCGTTGGGACGCGTTTTGACGAGACCAAGACTGCTTCGCTGTCCAGTCCGACGCCGCATCCTCACGACGTCGTCAGCCCAGCCCAGCCTCCATTCCGCCCACTGCTCTTCGCCCCTCTTCGTCTCCTTCTCTTTCTTATCTTTCTTCTCCTTTTTCTCCTTCTTCTCCTCCTCGTCCTTGTACCCCTCCGCGTCCTCGTCTTCATCCTCATCTTCGTCTTCCTCCTCCTCCTCCTCCTCTTCTTCCTCTTCCTCCTCCTCCTCCTCCTCCTCTTCCTGCTCCTTCTCCTTTTCGTTGTCGTCTTCATCGTCTGATCCCGTTCGTCCTGCATTGGCACCAACGCTGGCCATCATTTGAGCAAGCCGAATCCGGGCTTGTCTGGCCCGCTGGAAGAAAGGTTAGCAGAGAAAAGATCAGATGTACAGTTAGACAAGGCAGACAGTATCAAAAGACGGCGATTCGGTGCATGTTTGTGGCCTTTTGGCGCCGGCTAGCAAAGGTTATGGGCATAAAATGGAAATGTGAGACAAAGTACAGCCAGCCGGCCGGCCAGCAGAAAGGAAAGCAGAAGAACAAAGTGTGCGCGATAAAACGCCTCCGAGATGCTCTGAATGTGAAAGTTGGTGGGTATGAAACGACCAAAATAAAATAATCGGTTGACCAAAGTCGACCGACACTGAGAAGGATGAGAGCTGTAGAGAAGTTTGAGGTTGCTAAAGCCTGTGCTAACATGACGCGTAGTCGTACAAGCTCGATTCGGTT